TACGCTTGGAGGGGGAAACCCCAAAACAGGGGGGGTCCGGAGCAAATTCCCCCCCCCAAAAAAACCCCAAAGTATGGGACCCACCCCACAAGTTGTGGGACCCCCCCAAGATATGGGACCCCCCCCCTCAAAATGTGAGACCCCCCCCAAAATATGGGACCCCCCACAAGATATGGGATCGCCTCCACAAGATATAGGACCCCCCCTCAAATTTATGGGATCCCCCCCAAATTTATGGGACCCCCCCCAAATTTCCCCCCTATAAGGGACATGGCTCCAATGTCACCGCACCTGCTGCTGGAGGGGGGGGGGTGACACAAAAAAATGGGGTTGGGGGCACAGCTGGGGATAAAAGGGGGGCTGCTGGCTGAGGGGGGGCTTTTTAGGGTGTCCCAAACCCCCCCGGGCATTTAGGGGAGGGTCGCGGAGCCCCCGAATTTGGGGGAAGAGGAGGGCGGGGGGGGGGGGGAGGGCACTGAAGCCTTAATTTAAAGGGATTTTGGGGTGGGAAGCCAAAACTATGAGGGGGGGGGGATTTAGGGAGGGGGGGGGAATGGGAAAGGGGGGTCAAAAAAACCATAAATTTAGGGGTGGGAAGCAAGGGGGGGGCAAGGAAACCATAAATTTTTAGGGGGGGGGGGCGTGGGTTTGGGGGTTGTAAAGGGGGAAGGGGAGGGATGGGGGTGCAAGAGGGTGGAGGGGGGTTTAGGGTGGAGTGGGGGGGTCCCTAAATTTTAATTTTTTGGGTTTTTTTTTTTGGGGTGTGGGGGGGTCCGGGCTCACCTTGGCGAAGTAAAGCATCCAGAGCTCGTAGAGGCGCTCCCGGGAAGCCATGCCGAGCCGGGCCGAGCCGGGCTCAGCGCCCCGGGGGGGCCATAGCCCTGAGGGGGGGGTTTGGGGTGAATTTTAGGGAAAAAAAAGGGAAAAAGGGGAAGGATTTAGGGTCCGGGGGGGGGGGCACGGTGCTGCCCCCGGCACGGCTCGGCACGGCTCGGCTCGGCTGCCAGCTCCGCCCCGCTGCCGGGCCCTCCCCCAGGTGCTTGCTTTAAAAAAAAAAAAGGGGGGGGACACACACACACATGGGGAGGTGCCCCCCACCCCAAAAAATGCACAAAAATACAAATTTTAGGGGCAGGTTTTTGTATACCCCCCCCTCCTTCCTCCTCAGCCCCCCCCCGGTGCCCTCACGCAGCCCCCTTATGGGGGGGTGAAGGAGAAGGGGGGGTGTGGGGAATGAAGGTGAGGGCGTGACACAAACGGGATGCCCCCCACCCCCCAAAAAAATAAAAAAATTAAAAAAATGAGGTGAAAAACCTTTATTTTGGCCCCCCCCATCCAGCCGCACCCCCTTTCCCCCCCCCCCCCACCTTCCCATGAGGAGAAACACTCAGTGTTTCTTCATATAATTTTTATAATTTATTAGATTATCGTCAAATTTATTTAATTTTTTAATTTTTGGGGGGTGACACCCCAAAAAAAGGAGACCCCCCCCCAAAAAAAAGCCCCCATCGACGCGCTCGGCGCTCGGCTCGCCGCCCCTGAGGGGAGGGGGGGGGAAGGCGGCACAAAATGGCGGCGCCCAGCGGCGGCGCCAAGGAGGAGGAGGAGGAGGCGATGGCGGCGGCTGTGGGGGAGGAAGCGGAGCTGGGGAGGCTGGAGGAGGAGGCGAGGAAGCGGCAGGAGAGGCTGCGAGCCCTGAGGCAGCGAGCCCTGCAGGTAGAGGGGCTGTGGGATGGGGGTGCCGGGGGGGGGGGGTGACTAAAAGCGCTTCAGCGCCCCTAAAATCCTCACAGCGCACCCAAAATCGCCTCAAAAATCCTAAAACCGCCTCAAAATCACCAAAACCGCCTCAAAATCTCCTCATGGCTCCGTCCTGCCAGCCCAGGCTGCCCCCAGCCCCATCCAGCCTGGCCCTGGGCACCCGCAGCTGCTGTGCTGAAAATGAGCATTTTTCCCCTAATACTTGACCCAAATTCAGCCTGTTTCGGCTTAAAACCGTTATTCTTTGTCTTATTGCCGTGCTCTGTGGTAAATATTTCGGGGAGGTGTGATTCTGGGGGTGTAACGGTTCAGGAGGTGTTGGGGGGTGGTGGCTTTTGGGGTATGGGGTTGGACCTAAAAATATAGGGGAAAAGGGTTTTGGGGTGTAGGAACAGGGTTGGTTTTTTTAGAAAGGGATCTTTTAGGTTTGCCTCTTCCAGCTGCGAGGCCTTTTTAGGGCTAACCAAAAACTATGGGAAGAGATTTGTCTTTTTTTAGGTTAAATCCGTCCTGTTGCTGCAGCCCCATTTAGGAACTGGGAACCTGTTGTAGGGTTTCCCCGTAGGCTTCCCTACTCCAGGCTGAAAACCTCTGTGGGGTCTGGAGCCAGCAGGTTGGCGGGGCTGAGCATTGAGGGGTTCAGGTTATGGGGTGCTGGGCAAAGAGGATGGTTGATTTTTAGGGTGAAAAAGCGTGGTGTTTGGTGCTGGGGTTTGGCTAGGGGTATAGGGCAGGGTGATGGGGTGAAGGGTGGTGGGACGGGGCTGGGGAAGGGGATTTTAGGGCTGTAAGGTGAGGAGGGTGGCGATGGGGTGGGTGTGGGGCAGGAGAGGGGGGTCTGAAGGGGTTTGGTAAAAAGGGTGCAAGAAAAGGGAGAGGAGGGAGCTGGGATTTGGGGTTTGCTGCGGGTAAATGGGGAATATTAGGGTTTTATGAGGGGCTGCAGGGGGAAATGAGGTGCTTTGGAGTTCAGTCCCTTGTCCCCATCCACAGGATCTCGTCTATGGGATCTCCTGGATCCCTGGATTCGCAGAGATGATGTCCCTGTGAGCTGTGGGGACGGGCTTGGGGAGCGACCCCAAAGTGATCCTGGGGCTGGTTTGTAGGGCATTAATCCCAGAAGCTTCCTGATGGCTCAAATCCTCGCCTGAAAAAGCACATTTTTTAGGGCCGGCTGCCCTCGTCACCTCGCAAATACCGAACTCAGAGTGTTGAAATATTTTTGAAATATTTTGATTTATTTCCCCGATCGGAGCTGAAAGAAGAACGCAGCGGGTGTGGGAACCCGGCGCCGCCTCCCGAATTCTGCCAGGCTCCGGCGTGTCTCGGCAGGTCCCGGCCTTGCTTCCTTCACCCTTTTGGGGTTCCCGAGGCGGTTGCGAGCTCTTCCCCTCCCGCCACGTCAACCCCAAGCTGTTGGTTGAGGTTTGTATGGTCCGGGTAAGGTGGGAAGGTGCCTGCCCCTGTGCCGAGACCTTTTTGGGGTTTCTACACCTTGTGCTGCGCTCCTCGCCTTGAAACACCCGTCCTTACCCGTGCTGAGCTTTCAGGGAGGGGAAAACCTTTCGGTTTTTCTTCTCAGCAAGAAAAAATGATGGAAAAAAGAGCTTAAATTTTTTTTTTAGGTTAACGTGAAGGGAGCGAGGCTTCCCGAGCCCAAAACCCGCACGCATTTCCTCGTGGCAGGGAGCAGGGACTTCTTGGGGCAAATCGAAGCAATCCTGTGGGGCTGTGAGGTCTGTCTCTGCACGTACATCTCTCCAGGATTATTGCTTTTAATTTAATTTAATTTTTTTTTTTATCAGGCTCTGAATTTCACCCCTTGCCTCCTTGCTCGGTGACGCGTGGTCGTAAAAAAAAAAAAAAAAAACCCTCCTGCTGGATTTCCTTGTGAGTCACCCGCCAGCGGAACCAGTCCAGCCTTCCCCCAGCCTTTAGGGCGTGCTTGTGCCACCCCAAACCTTGGCAGAGGGCGTGGTTGGAGCTGTCTGGCTGTAATCTCCGCTTTGCAAGCTTTCCTTTTATATATTTTTGTCTTTTTAAAGCCGGATCGAAACGTTTTACAGCTGCTGCTCCCCGGCTCCGAGGTTCCTGCAGCTCCTGGCCCCGTAGAGAAGCCCTCCTGCAGCCGTCCCTTCTCCCAGCACAGCACGTGGTTCGTTGTAGCTGCTCCTGAGGCACCAGAACTTTATTTTTTGGGTGCTTTTTGGGTGTTGGGATCCTTCCCTGCATTAACCAGACCAGTTTTATCCCCCTGCAGTGAGCGTGATCGGTGCTGGCTCAGCCAGCTCGGGCAGCACAACCTCTTTCTGTTCCGTCGCTGCCGCTTCTTTGCGAGCCCTGCTGGTTGCAAGATCCCCGTTTTACACCCAAACAAACCCGAAACGGAGCCGGGGGAATAAAAACCGACAGCAGCCTCTTATCTGGCAGCCTTCGGAGAGCCGTGGGAGTAGCCGTGGAGCAAAACCGCGCCGGGAAGAGGAAGCTCACGGGGAAATCGTGCAGCTTTTAACGGGGCTGTGCTCGTTTTCCACCAGCCTGGGACGAGCTTCGCTCGTGTTTTTGCTGCCACCTTTAATTACCAGGAAACTTCCCCCCCCCGGGTTCCTGCAGTGGAAGGATGGGGGCTAAAACCTGACAATCTGCTCCCTCCCTGCCTTTTTTTTAATTTTTTTTCCCTTGCCTAATGGCTGCAAATCAGATGAAAGCCTCCAGATTGTGTTTCTCAGGGAGACTTTTTATCTTTAGAGTCTTTCCAAGAGGATCTTTTTGCTCACTTTAAGCTTAGGCAGGGACACAAAATGTAATCACGAGCTTTGGCTCACTGCTCTTATTATTATTTAATGCCACGTTTTGAGGTCCCAGGTTTCCTGGATCCGTTTGAAGCTCCTGCCAGGTGAGGGCTGTGCAAAACCACGAGCGCTTCCAGGCTGTGGACCCGACGCTTTCACCACCACTTTACAATTTTCCAGGATAAAAAAAAAGGATCCCAGTGGCACGGAGCTTGCCCTGGGAAGCCGAAAACCCTCGTGCTGCCAAGTCCCTCGTGCTGAAGCCCCAGATAAAAAGCTGCCAGGGAGCTGTGCCGGGGGGTGCCAGCCTCTCCGAAGGGCTGCAGGTCCCCTGGGTGACTCCCGAGGAGCCGTATTTCCCTAACCACAACGTTCTGCCAGGCGAGTTGATAATTAACTGCGGCTCCTCCTGCTCGGGGAAGAGGTTGCCCTTGGAACAAGCTTTCTGAGGCGTTCAATCTGCCCGTTTTGGGGTCAGATGGGCGTTTGGCTCAGGTTTAGGTCGCTTCAAACCCCCTAAAAATCGCCACAGCTCCTCCAGGTGATGTGATTGAGAGAAATTTGGGAGCGCTGTGCACGTCAGAGCTTCTCCTAAAAACACTGGGGGCTTTGTGAAAGCGAAGCCCGTTTGGGGATTCACCCGTTAGGTGGAAAACTGCTTGGTTTTAGAAATAAAATCCCTTTAGAAAGGGATTTGTTGGGTTTTCTGCCTGGGTAGCAGCAGCAAAACGAAGCAGTGGTGACACCAAGAAGCACGCGCGTTATCTCCTTGCGAGGAGCCCGGTGCTTTTCCCACAGCTCCTTATTTTTAGCCCTAGATACGGGAGCAGCGGGGAGGAATTCTTGTCTCAGCTCTTGCTCGTAACCTGCCCTTGCCCCTCTGACTCAGCTCCGAAATAATTCGGGTGTGTGGCTGCTGCTGAGGTGAGAGGAAGCTCTCGCTGGCACTGGTGGCAGCTGAAGGAAGCGTTGAGAGTTTTCCCTCTGCCTTTCCCTGCCAGTTTTTATTTTTTTTTCCCCTCTGTGATGTAGCAGCCCCTATTTGCAGCCCCACACTTAAACTGGGGGGTTAATTTTTGAGGAGGAACTGGCAGAATTTGGGATCTGTCTTCCCCGATGCTCCTTCATCCTGATTTCCTTCTCATCGTGGTGATGGGCAGCGGGTTTTCACGTAATATTTCTCTTTCCATCTCTACCTGTAAGAAAAATAGATCGCTGCAGCTCGAGGGCCATGCAAACATCACAAAAATAGGAGGTTTTGTATGGAAGGAGACTTTTTTTCTTATTTTTAGACCACCTTGACGAAACATTTTGGTGCAAGCTCAGCTGCTGCTGCCTTGTTATAAAGATTAAGTCTGAAAAACGTTTCGGGTAGAGCTCCTGCTTTATGAAACCCCGGAGAAAGTACCCACGAGCTGAATCCAGAGGGAAAATCTGTAGGAAAACCAGCCCTGCTGGCTTCTGCTGGTCACAACCCGAAGCAGCTCCTGCAGGAATTTCTCTTGGCACCGTGTCCTGAACGCACCTCACCGGCAAGGCCGCCTCGGCGCGGGCTTTGTAAGCTGTGGTTAAACCCCAGAGGCTGCTTGCTGAAGAGGAACCGCGTGGTTAAAGGTCACTTGGGAGCTCCTCTTCCCGTGTCAGGGCTCGATTCCCTTTCGGATGCTGGGTTTTGGTGTTTTTCAGAGGCTTTTCATGCCTTTTTGACAACTCGGGGTGTTTTTTGGTGCTAACTGGCGCTCGATGCCTCTTTTCCAGAGGTGATCCAAGCAGCAAACTCCCTCCTCGATGCATTTAGGACAGAGATTGTTTGCCAAATTAAGAAAACCCACTGTAAAAACCCATTTTTACCCATTTCTTGCAGCTGATGCAGGTGCTTCTTGGCTCTCTGAGCCCGTGCAGCACGTAGGACGAGACCTGCAGCTCTTCCCTTCCTCTGGCTCCGGTATTGTTCTCGCCTCTCTTGGGATTTGTGTGGCTTCGTGCCCAGCCCTCCCCTGCCTGGTGGCCTTGATTATTCCCACTGCTCGAGGCCCTGAGGGAAACAGGGGAGTGGAGAGTGCTGGTGGGGCTTTTTGGGATTTTTTTTGGGGGGAATTTCACGTTAAGACACAAAAAAGAAAAGGCGGAAAGCGGCTGCCTTGTGCCGGGTTCCCCATCAGG